TATGTATTTACCTATGTACATACATACTCGTCTATCGGTTCCGTCGATCGAGCTTCCATACTCGATCGCGTAGCGAACAGCGCGGGCAAACGAATGAAATATATTCCGATTCTCTCTGTATTCCTCTGGATCATTCATCGGTCGGTTGATTCGGGAAACGGCGAAGCTGATTTCCGGAATTCGTAGATGTGCGAACGGTTATCGTCGAACCTTGTAAGATAACGTTCGCGTGTGCAGAAAATTTCATTATTTCGATCGTTTTAACGGAACCATGTTAAATGTCAACAGGCTGTGCAATTTTCGAAATTTTTATTCCTCGGTGTCTGTTCAATTGTGATTTCTGTATCGTTGCCAAGGTACAGCTCGTTTCGAATAAACTACCAACACCGTATCATGTTAAACAATATGATCGCGATGAAACGTAACCACGGTCTGTCTTTAAACATTCGAAAGTCACGCGATCGAGTATAAATTAGATCTTTCCTTTTCTTCTCTTCACTCTTCTCTTCTCTTTTCTTTCTACTTTCTCTTCCTTCTTTTTCCCCTTACCTTCGCCATTTTCTTTCTTCTTATCCGTTCGCGCAGGCAGAAACAATTTTCGCCAAACAACGTATAATTACCAATGAAATCCCCGCGGTCGATACGCGCGGACATCCAACGACACCGTAAAATTCCGTTTTAAAGAAGCGGTCTTAAAACGGACATTTCGCGGGTCGTTCGTCTCGTGGATTCGTCGAAGCGATCATCCGTATCGCACGCGTGGGGATTTTCAAACGAAACGTTGCGCCGAACGAAGATGGAAGGAAGAAAAGGCGACTGTCCGTTGAAAGACGAAGATACGAAACAGACGCGTTTCTCTTCGCTGCAATTCGTTTCTCCGATTGTAATTCGATGTCGCGCACGCTACTTTGTACACAGTCAATTAGCAAATTCTGTACATGGGTATCGTGTCACGATAATACGAGTCGTAGGTCGTTATCGTTTCAATTATAATGAGAGTTCTCTTTCGTAACTTTCGTCTTCGTTGCAGCCCATCTATCAAGAGTGCACGCTAATCTGCATTTCTTTATCACACCCCTCTCCCCCCCTGCCCCTCTCTTCGCCCCCTGCCCCTCACCGCCTTTGTTTTTCTGGCATTCTGTCTCTCGCGATAGAGTTTTCAAATTGCAAGCAGTAACGTCCCCGTTGTTTTCTCATACGTTTCTTATAGATTCAATCCGAAAGATCGGTAGACACGAAATTTCTGTTCCTTTTGGTTCTTTCTCTTCGAGCAACCCGTTCTCGGAACGAGCGATAAAGTGAAATTTTTATGCGCTTTCGAACTGGGTGGTAGGCGGTGAACGTATTGGAAAAATAATGCGAAAGATTATAAACGCGTCCCGGTCCCGGTCAGCGAGTGCGTCCCTAGAGCCGCCGATACAGCGTTTACACGTTGATAATCGTCGTTCTCTGCGAGTGTATAAAAGAAAACGAAAACGTTGGAGCAACTTTGGATTATCTTTGAAACGCGAGGGGCTTGCTTTTCGTGTACTCGTCGAAAACTGTATCGCGTGGTCCGTAGTTCCTTCTCGAATCTTTTATCCGTTTTAGACCGTAGCGCTTGAACACGCGTCACAGTTTTCTTCGTTTCAACGAACGGACGCATGAGTATAGAAGTTGAATAAAAGAATAAAAAAGAAAAAAAAAGAAAAGAAAGAAAAAAGTGCCTGACCACTTTTCTAGTTCACGGTAAGGATATTTCGAACGCCACCGTTAACCTTTGTTACACCGTTAGGTACATGAAAACTTGATATCGAACGCCGTATACGATTTAACTTTATCCTGATTAGAGTATCGTTGCATGTTAATAGTTGATACTCGTAGTTTTGCAAGTTTTTATAACTCGTCTGGAATATGTAAAATTGATACACACACCATTTCTATCTTGTATTGTGTAACGATTATTTTGTGATACTATTATACTTCTCATTATTAAGTGTACTGCTGTTATACATTTATTCTTATTAATTATTATTATTACCACTACTATTACTATTATTACTGCTACTACAACTCCTCTTCCTACTGCTACTACTTCTACTACTACTATTACTACTACTATTACTAATACTACTACTACTACTACTATTACTACTACTACTACTACTACTACTACTACTACTACTACTACTACTACTACTACTACTACTACTATACTACTACTGTTGTTATTGTTGTTGTTATTATTATTACTATCACCATCGTCGTCATTATCATCACCACCGTCACAATTATTATTTTCATTTCTGCGACTAGTATCAATATTACTATTACCGTTATGTTTATTATTGCAAGTGTTATTGTTGCTTTATTACCTCAACAGTATCACTTATAGAGATATCTAATTCTGTAACTGCTATCACTATCACTTCTCCTATTACCGCTATTACTATCACTACTACTATTACCACTACTACTATTACTACTACTACTACTACCACTACTACTACTACTTCTACTATAATTATCGCTAATAAAGCGTCAACGGTTTTCAAATACAGTTTTACGTTATGAATACATACCTGTAACATATACTTTAATTTATCCATATGTGCATAGACATACACATCCGAATGGTAAAGTAGCGTATTCGTAGTGTATTCTATTTTCGTTTTCCCACGCGCCGCGACACCCAAGTTTCACTGTTATCGTCGAACAGTTTTCCCGGTACGCTTGATCCGACGATCCCCTGCCCCGTTTATCTGGCTCGCAGAAAAATTTTCGATTACCGCCGCTCTCGAACAAGTGAAACACGACCCGTCGTGTTCTCGGTTTCAGGAAAATTTCGAGGTACCGTACAAAAGACACGATACTCCTTCGCATTCCACGCGAGAGTCGAGCGAATCGTCATTCGCGACGCGTCGTAACGTCCCGTCCTTCCGAAACGTCGAATTACGTGTATGTCGCATGCATCGAAACAGACGTGTTTCGCTCTTTCCGCCGGCTCCCTCAAAGTCATCGTTTCACGGCGGTCTCTTTAATTCCCTCTTCGAGTCACGTAACCGCTCGAACGATTTCGCGGCCCGTTCCCCCGGGATCGACGGAGGTACCGCGATGCACCCGGCCGTCCTCTTCTTTCCTTGATTTTGCATGCGAGAATGCATTGGCGTAGCGCACAGTATGCCGTTCACGCGTCGAAAAGCTCGGTGGAAAACTGTACACGGTGGAGGCAGGAGTGCGTTCGGTCCGCTCGAGCGTTTTCAGCGGTTACGGACCGGACGGAATCGGCCGTGGAACCGAAATCGACGTCGAACGGATTCGTACGCGCGAGAATCGAAACGCCGCGGAAACGGGGCTGCGACCGGGAAGAAACGGAACTCGACCGAGAGAGGTCACTTCGTCCTCCACCGTATTGTACACGTTGCTGTCTTTACATCCTCCTAAACGTAGAATCGAATTATAACGATAAACGTATACGACGACTGACCAAACTGACCAATTTGTGTCTCTGTGTGTCTGTTCACTTCTAGTGGACATGGACCAACGAGTCGGCCGGTACCGCCTTCTCTCGAACGGAGGAACGATAGACGTTTTGTGAGTTCATCGCCAGTCATCCATACATGGGAACACCACCTTTCTACCTTGGTACCGCGCGAACTTTCGTTTTCCAACTGTACCAACTGTATCGACTGTATCGCGTGTGCCGTTACGTCGTTCGACCGGAGTTCGCTGAACGATACATAGAACGTTGCCACGACGCTGTCACGTCGCATGAAACGATGCCCCGAACCAACGAATCGTCTCGGAACTCGAGCACTCTTTTTTTCTCTCAACTCCACACGTGTTACCATTTCGTTCTTCCGACTTTCCGACTGATCCGCACCCTCTTCGTTCCCATTTCCTTTCCCTAACTCTCTCTCTCCCTCTCTAGCATGTCGCTGTTTTACACTCACACACACATACACAGACATTCTCACTCTCTCGTTATTAAGCGAAAATGTAAGATGATTCGTGTATCATCGGTTACCATCAACCCGGCATCGTCGAGAATCGACGATCAGACGTTAACCCGCACGCGAAATACGTTCTATGTAACGTTCCTTCCATGTTTTTCTGCCGTCGATCGGTTAAACTCGAGAAACTAGTAGAGTTCCGTCTGTAACGCGGTCGCAGGGTGTTCATCAGCCGTGCCCGAGCGATCGCGTTGGTCGGTTGACGATCGACGAAACTGTCTTTCGTAGGTAACGCGTCCAGATGGAATCGTATCCCGTTCAAAGAGGAATAGGTATTTTCGTAACGTCGGTAGATCGTAAATTCGCGGCGGCGGCGGCAGCGGCGGCGATGACGACGATAGCAAGCGTGACTGCGACTACGACTGCGACTACGACTGCAATAATAGCACGCCGAACGGCAACGGTAACGAATAGAACGATAATGATAACAGCGATGACGCTCGTCGACGATAGCGATCGCGGCTAGAGCAAAAATCCTGGTATCAGGCCAAGCGAAGTGCGTGTGCACGCTGTAAACGGAGAAACGTCGCGTCGATAGGGTCGTCGCCGTTATCGGTACTCGTCCGATTCACGATAAACCTGTACCTCTCCGAAGAATGGCTACGGTTTGCCGAGCGCACGGAACGGAGGATCCCGAGGAGCGCGAGACGTGCTCGACAGCAAAGCCGACGTCGACGCCGACGCCGATGCCGACGCAGACACCGTCCTTCCCGACGAGTTTACCGATTTCTTCGATGCATCGCGCCGCGACAGCCCGATTTCCCTTCTCGTCCCGCGGTCGTCGTCGGGTTCCCCTCGCGATCACGCGTTCGTTGAAACGAGAACCCGCGTCCACGATTCGGATCGCGGGCGCCGCGAGAGTATAAGAGAGCGCGCGATGTTCCTAGAGTTATAACGGAACCGAGGACAACTGCGAAAAGAGTGCTCGGTCGAGCCGATGTCGAAGCGGAAGCGTGTAACATATGTATGTAAAATGAGCGTGAACGCGCGGGATGTGTCACGAAGCGAGCGAATTCGCGGCGAGCGAGCAAAACCGGGTCCCGTTTCGCGGGGAGCGGCGAGAGCCACGACGAAACGGAGACGCTTGGGTCCAGGTTGCGATTGTTCGGAGGACGAAGCGACTCGACCGTTTCATCGCGGACGCGATCGTCGACCGAAAGCGTAGGGCGACAACCGATTTCCCTTGGGAGCATCCGCGTCCCGCCGAGATCCATCGCGCGGTTCAACTGTTCAGGTCCCGTTGTAGAGAAACGTTCGGCGGACCAGCGAGTTCGGCTGGCGCGACGGCGAACGATCGACGGACATGATTATTTTAGCGTCACGCCCCGCCCGGAACCGAGTCCTTCCAAAGAGAGAGAGAGAGAGAGAGAGGATACGATCTCGAGAGCGAGCACGAGTAGAAAATGGAATCTGGACGCTTCGCGACGAACGGTGTTGTTCGCTCGAGCGACTTATCGGACGTACCTCATCGCTCGCGGACGTGATCTTCCCAGCGTAACAATATGGATTTAATTAGAGTTAGTTTACGGTACGATAAATACGTTAGTACGCAATTCACGTAAGGATGTCGATAGCATGTGTTGGAAGGAACGCATTCCCACGGGTTCGAGTTAAGTTCAATAACGCGCGTACTCCTACGTTCCATTTTTCTGTTGTCGGAACGAGGCACCCTTCGCGAGATAACGAACCGACGAGAAGAACGAGAGGATAGAGAATTGAGCGAAGCCGGGAAGGGATGGAACGGATAGAGAAGGTGTAGAGGAGGGGAGGAGGAGGAGGAGGAGGAGGGAGGGAACGAAGAAGAAGAAACGAATCGGTCGGGGATCGAGCCGCGGAAACGGAGGAAAGAAACGCGAGAGCGAGCGATAGTCTCCGCGAGAGTAGAACGGGCCAACCGATCGGATTACGAGTCGTCCAAACGGATTAGTAAATTTACCTCGTTCGAAGAGTTTTTAATTACATCGCGCTCGCGGATCGTCGAACTCGAACGTCGACGGTCCACCGGGCGATCGTCGCAATCCTTCGTCTCTTGTTTTTGTTCTCCACCCGCCGAAAACTAAACCCAAGGTAAACTTACTAATATACGTTCCTTTTAACCCTTGAACGATAATAGCAATACGTACGCGCGATATCGTTAGCCCGCGCGATACGTACACGCTTCTCGAACGTATTTTTTCTCGTACGGAGTCCACGAATACCGTTTTATAAGTGACACCTTTTAAGATTAACTTTTATATGTTTCATGCGGAATGTTCGAAAATATAAATAAGATGCATTATTTTCTCTGTGATAATTATATGCGAGCAAACTGTCCAAACTTGTCCCCTTCCAACCGACCGTTTTGCTTTCGATTCTTTGATTTGTTCTTCTTTTTTTTTTTATTTCTTTCTTTCTTTTCGTTTGAA